CGTATAAAAGTTTTTTAAAAATTTTATTTTACAATTATTCAGGTAAATCAATTTTATCCCCTTCAAAGTACTCCCCCTGTGACATAATGCACTTGTGCCAACGCCGTTTCCACTGTGAGAAGGCTCCTTGAAAGTCCTCTGGTTGTAGGTTTCTCAGCTGCCCCGTCGTAGCTTTTTTTATCTCATTTATGTCCCCCAAATGCCGCCCCCGAAGTACCAATTTGGTTTTTGGGAACAAGAAGAAGTCACACGGGGCCAAATCCGGCGAATAGGGGGGTGTTCGGTCACCGTAATGGAATTTTTACTCAAAAACTCACGGACAACAAGAGAGGTGTGGGCAGGGGCATTGTCGTGGTGAAGAATCCAACGCCCCTCTCGCGCCAATTCTGGACGAACTCGTGCCACACGAGCTTTGAGGCGTCTGAGCACATCGACGTAGAATTTTCCATCAACTGTCTGGCCTGGAGGGACGAATTCTTGATGGACAATCCCCCGAACATCGAAAAAAACAATCAACATTGTCTTGACATTTGAGCGGGATTTTCTTGATTTTTTTGTTCGTGGTTCCCCGGATGTCTTCCACTCTTTGCTTTCACGGCCATTCTTGCCGAGTTTCGAGAGAAACTTGATTACGACGCGCTGCTCTTCAACGGAAGCGGGCTCCATGCCGACGGGGTTTCGTTAAGAGGTAACTTCACAGATGGCGTGACAAGCCAGTTCGCACCGCACGGCGGTCAGACCAGAACTGAAGCATTGTTAGGGACATAAGGAAGGGGTCCTGCGCTTACCTGGCCTCCCCACTCCTCTTTCTCGCATTCCAGAACACTTTTATACGAACTTTCCGGACAGACCTCGTATATATATATATATATATATAATATATGTAAAGATCAACTTAGCATAATAGCTATTACTATATACGTAATGCGCGCGTAATGCCCTTGCTATTGCAGGCGTTCATAGGCTACGGTGATCGCTTACCATCAGGTGGACCGTATGCTTGTTTACCACCTCAGTGGTATAGAAAAGGTAAAAGGTTTCACTATATAATATGTTGATATAATTTGTGTAATAAGACCTCTTCGTGCATTAATAACAAGACTTACAGTCCTCGTTAAAACCGCACCGATATGCTCATATAGTTGTTTTGCTTGTCGCGTTTTTTTTTTTATCGAAATATCTTCTAATTCAACTTTGAGGACATTGTTTTAATCAAATTTATAAGTTGACTATAAATCTATTTATTATAATGTCTCTTACTTTAAATGTCCCGCTATACCAGGGTTTCTTGAACTTTCTCCAGTCACGGATCACTTTCACAATTTAAGCAATTCCACGCACAAATGTCAAAAAGCATTGTAGTTAAGTCGTAAAATTTAGAAAAAGAAAAGGAGGCTTTTTTAATTTAAAAAAAAAACTTGGTAGTTTCATTACACTTGCTACTAAATGAGAAGGATGCTTCTGTTTGGCCTCGCTGAGAACTCGTTGAATTTAGTATAAAATTTTCTAATTAATATTTTTATCTATTTAAACTTTAATTCGCAGTAAAATTCTATGTACATTTGGCGGACATGACACCGGACGGTTTTCTTTACCCGTCAACCATTGGATAAACAAAAAAAAAATCAGTAGGCGGTGAATTATTGAATAAAGGAAAAATAAAGCAATACAATAAGACTAATGCACATAACATATTAAATAAATAAACATATACATATAATAAATATATAAAATATTACTATATCAAAAAAATAAATGTAATAGAAGAGCAAATAACAATCTATAACTCAAACAGAGAAACCAGCACGATTAAGTAAGGGAAAGTATTTTTTTTTTTAAATAGGAGCGCAATATGTTTACAGTTAATTGACCTACTGACATTCTACGGACCCCACTTTAAGAAACCCTGCGCTCTACGGCAAATCGACGTTTAATTTGACATAAGTGTCAAGTTCATACATAATATGGCCAAAAAATGGTTTTGCACATTTTGTGACTGAATTATTAAGAGTTTATAAGTAAGGGGAAGGTGTTTTTTTTTTCTAATTAATTGGTAGTCTTAATGCTGTAAATTTAATAAAAAAAATCTTTTGAATGTTTATTTACGAGTATGTATGATTCAATACAATGTTTTTTATTAATTCAATGACCTAATTGTATCTACAGAGATTATTACAAAAAAAAAAGTTATAAATTTTTATATTTAATTAAACATATTTATTATATAAATATGTCTATACGCTAATATAAAGGTATATACTTTGTTTTCTCTCTAATAATCATAATTATTTATTTGCATTTTATCGAGTTGGTATTGGTGATAAACTAACTTTTTGAAGTTGATTTTTTTTTTATAATTATAAATTATTTCTTGAATTGGAATATATTCTAGGATACATTAAATTGAGAGAAGACCAAAAGCCTGTCTTATCGACTTCCTTTTAACGCTTCAGTTTGAGCGGTTCAATACTTATATAAAAGGGCGATGTCTGTCTTGTTGTTTAGTGTAATATATAAATAATTTTAATTTTCTTTTTAATATATTTGATGGTATAGCAATGTGGTTGTTTTTAAAGTATCACTATATTGCTACCAAATGTCCAGCTAATTCATAACATTTCCTTCGCAAATATATTTTTACATTTTTTCTTGCGTTGAATAAATAGTATATTCACTTAAATGTTATTATGACTATGTTGTATGAGAGAGAGGCATAATATTTGACTTTATATAGATTATCCTTCTCTCTCTAATCTCACAGCATTTGTGAGAAAATGTTATATATAGAAAATAATATAAGGAATAATGGTACTGTAATAAAAAAAAATTGTAAGCATGTGCCATGTAATCTGTACTATAATTTTGTTTTGTATAGTATGGTAGTTGCGCAAATCTTGAATAACTACGTCAACATCTCTCGGAAAGGTCCAACTCTTATCCTTTTTATAGAAATAGACGATACCCGCAGAAATTTCTCTTTTGGCGGGAAACATTTTGTATTCGCTTCAGTAACTTTTAAAGAGATAATCTCTTGCGTTGCAAAACTTGTGTTTTTGTTATGTCACTTCAATGGGGACAATTATGTGATGGTTGCATGTGATAAGGATGTTAATCGCTAGCCTTAGTATATTTATACACGTGTAAGCTAAATTCCTATATTTTATTAAGAGGTCTAGGTAGTAAGTTGATTTACATTATAAGACTTGCATTACCAATACAATATGGATTCTCAAATATTTGTGTGTTGTTATTTATAATTTCCTCCCACTATCTTCAACTATAACCGCCATTTTGTTTTTAAAAATATGTTTAATCAAATATAATTAAACATAATAATAAAATCGTTATTAACATTTTTTGTTGTCAGTATGTAGCTGATAGCAGTAATGTTTGTTTGATAACAATTATAGGGAAAACATTGAATGAGTATCGCCACGTAATATTTTATTATATTTATTTTATTAAACAAAAATATATACATTTACAAACACACAATGTAATAAAATTTTTATTTTATAACTGCTATGTAATATTAGGTACACGAACTTAATACGCTAACAAAAAGAACACAATGGCTTATAAAAAAATCTTGCTTATTAAAATTGAATAAATAACTTTTCTGTGTAAAATAATTAAGTACTTAATTGTTCATAAGAGCAGAATTAATATTCTAAAATACTAAGAATGTAAAAATGTAATATTGGAATGTATACAATTGAAATAATTACATTATCAGATTACAAGAAATACTGACAATTAAATACTTTACATCAAAATTTATATATAAATCACATTATGGACGGACTATATTTAGATTTTTCTATATTACAATCTTATCTACAGTTTAGGACCTGCATATGCGAGAGAAAATTCTCGCACAATTTTTTCGTCCGGCAAAATAAGTCGTTGGCAACGAGGTGTTGCCTTCGGCAGACTGCAGGCTCTTACAAGACAAACCCACAACCTTTTCATAATAAAAAACAAAATAATATTTCTGAATACTTTAAAAAAATTTGCGCGGAACATTGAATTACATGTAATATACAGTGGCGGACTAAGCTCGTTCGAGGTCTGGGATGGTAAAACTGAATGAGGCCTTTAGTTTAAGAAGTTGATGTAATTTTTACAAGCTTTTTATTCAGTTCACAAAGTGTTTATGTTGAAATCTTGCAAGTAAATTTTATTATTATAATATTTTATTTAACATATATAGAATCAATATCAATGTAGAAAATAAAATACAAATCGATTGGCAAAAAAATAAAAATATAGGTTGTTTTAGAGGCGTTTGGAGGCCCTTCCAGTCCGTCACTGATAATATATGAGCTTGGTTACAAGTGCTGTTAATAATGAAAAAAATTATAACATAGTTTATAACATTTATAATATTCTTAAAAAAGTAAAGAACAAAAGTGAGCAAAGGGTTTGCGGCATTATGTTTTGTTGCCAGTTCAAATACATCGATCACAGGTACAGATTATGTAATAATAAGAATTATTCAAATAAAAATTAATAATAAAGATCTTTTAATTAGCACCATTTTACATTTATAAAATACGAAATACTCTCATCGTGACTTTTTTAAATTTATATTAACACCAAGAGGATATATTTTCAGTCCTAGTGTAATCCTAGTAAAAATGTGTGTTTGTTACCTCAACTAATAGTTATGTAATTAGGTACATAGGTACTATTTGAGATGATAAAAGATTCAATCCATCCATCAAAGATCCCGTTCAATAAACATATACTAGTTACATGGACGAAGGCGCGGGTGAAAGATTTTTTTATACAACTTAGAATGGCGAACAAGCTGACGGCCCACCTGATGGAAAGCGGTAACCATCGCCTATAAACATGAGCAGTACCATAGACATAACAGAGTATACTGTTTTGCTCATGATACTCTCTATGCGTTGACATTCCTGAGGACTCAGGTGTTATTCGTCTGTACCTCGTAAATTCATTACACATATTCCACCCTTCAAACCAAAACACAGTTATTTCCTGAAAATAAAAAAATAAAATCATTCCCTTTGTCATACACATCGTATCTGCACCTTGATGATTAACGTGTCATTCTTTACAAAACCGTTATCGACAACATCTCCAATGACTGCGTACTCGGTGAACCCGAATCCTCTGGGGCAAATGTCGGAGGTGGGCTTCTGGAATGCTATCAGATGGGATATGGACATCATGGTGTCCTTCTGCGTAAGCTCCGAGTTGTACTGGTTGATCATGGCAACCGATATGCGACCGTTGAACGGCCACTCGAGGCAGTCGTCGTATTCTGAGCGCATCATGTGCACGTGAAGAGCGAAGCACTTGGGGTTCTGCGGTGATATGTTGAGCCGGACGCAAAATCTGGAAAGAGCGATTTTTTATTTAAACATTAAACTAATATTAGTATTAGTTTAAAATCTTGCCGAGGTTTTCCCAAGAGACTACAGCATGGGGTTCTTCAAAAGGGGGGTAAAGAGGTTTCTTCAGGGTCGGCAACGCACGCGCAATACCTCTGGTATTGCAGGTGTTCATAGGTTACGGTAACCGCTTACCATCAGATGGGCCGTATGCTTGTTTGCCACCTCAGTGATATAAAAAAATGTTTACAATTAAGGATTACAATATTGTACACCACTCTACTCGCTGACATTGATGCTCCTTTTACATTGGGTTTGCTGGAGGAGAACTCTTTTAGAGTTAAGCTCGTATACATATAACGTACATTTACGTACTTCTGTTACATTTTTACGTATTATTAATGTGTATAATAAAGTATGAAATAAATAAATGTTTTTTGAGTTTTTAAACTCAAGAAATATTTAACAGAGTTTAATAATTCATTTTAATTCATGGTCTCACTTCCGATTATGATTCCATCGATGGATTCGGTTGTAACTTGTCTATGGAAGCTGTACAGACAGAAATACGACTTACCGGTATCCATAGGGCGATGTATAAAAAGCAGGACTGTAAAGCATGCTATTGTAGTTTTGCATCATCTTCTGCAGTCTGTCCTTGAAGTTTTCTATTTTCCATATATAGTTGCCCATGCAGTATCGCACATGGTTATAATTGGTCAGTGCCGTCAGCGCGTCCACTTTCTTAGTCAAGTTGGCGATACAGATCGCCTGCTCGCGATTCCTCTGTTCTAGTATTACTACTCGTTCGAAAACTGATCTGAAAATTTTATGAGGAAGACTTTGTACAAAAGTCGTTTGCTTGGGTACCCCTGTCCCATTCGTGTTTCTACCGTAAAGCAGTTGTGTTTGCATGGCTGTGTTTCGGTTTGAAGGGTGAGATATGGCGTGAATTTACAGGGTACAGAGGAATAACATCTGATTCTTCAGGAATGGTAACGCATGGGAGGTATCATGGGCGAAACAGTATACTCTGTTATGTTCATGGTACTGCTCATGTCTATAGGCGGTGGTTACCACTTTCCATCAGGTGGGCCGTCAGCTTGTTTGCCATTCTAAGTTGTATAAAAAAAAGACTAGATGATAATTGGTAGTGTATGTAACAATTGAAATGCCAGACTTACACGAACGAGTCTAAAGTTGCTTCATAAACACATAACAAGCCGAGGTTTGATATGACACGAAGAGGGCATAATTTCAGAGGTTTATAAAAATGGTGTAAAACAATAATAAATGCAGTTGCAGAGAGTACTTATAATTAATAAATACGTTACCAATTCATCTCTGAGAGCCTACCATGAAATATTTTCCGAAATTTCGGGGACGAACGAAATAGAAATTTGATGTTAAAATTACATAATATATGCTGTTTAAAATTATTAAAAATGTTAAAATATCCTTCTTTTGGGCTATTAGAATAGGATTTATGATGAACGAAATGTTAAGCTCCATTTACTGGGTCGATTTCGGTACGAACAAAACACGAAATTGAGCGCGAAAATTCGGAATTTCATTTCATGGTAGACAACCTGGTGTCGGAGTAATAAAACAATGTACCATTAATGGTTATTGGGGTGAGCTATTTTACTATAAAAGGTTTTTTATCAGGTGTGAAAGAAATGGTAACGCCGCCTGCGCTATCGGCAGACGCCGGTGGAGCACGAGTGAGAGATGATGGCTGAGGATGAAAGTAAGTCAGTTAGTCCATCGCGAAGAATTCCACAAGAATTAATTACAATCGTTTTCAGCGGGAACCATATTGGTAGTAAAGAGGCTGTTAGACCCTGTTATTCATCCGTACTGTTTCCCTAATATGTAAGATTATAATTATAGGATTGTTATGGTATGTGCATGCACAAGATAGTCTTGAAATATATATGCTATTAGTATAATGACTGGGGGAAGGGTGAGTGAGGGTCAATAACCGGGAGGTTTTTTTTTGATGGGTAAAAATGGTAGGGTAACCCCGCCCGCGCTAACGGGATACGCTGGCGGAACACCAGTGAATGGTGATAGGTGAGAATGAAAACAGGCCAGTTAGCTCATCATGATGAATTCATCAGGAATTAACTATGATAGTTTCCAGGGGGAACCGCGAGGAGGTCGACCTGGTTGGGTATATTGCTAGCAATGGGATTCTCAGTCTCCATTACTAACAATCCCTTTTCTCCCATAATCGGGAGGTTACACCTTATTGCTAGCAATATACCACGTCAGGACTTCTATGTTACCATTGGGGTTAATTTCTGTTAAATTTGCCATGATGGGCCAACTGATCTATTTTCGTCCTCATCTGACTGAGCTGACGGAACACCAATGAAAATTATTCATTGGTGTTCCGTCAGCGTATACCGAGAGCGCAGGTGGGGTTACCATTCCATTATCATCCATTACAAAAAAAAAAAATTAGATAACACAGAAATTTCTTTACGGTTGTGTAAAACACAACGCGTACCTGATGAGGGCGCTCGTGTTGTTGAGCGGCGCGGTGGAGGCCTGCGGGTTGTTCTTGTCGGGCGCGTCCCACAGCGCCATCGCCTCCTGCTCTTTGGCATCTATGTTCGCGTTCGACATATCGTTGTTCATCTTCAGCTCTGAGTACGCGTTCACCAGGTACTGGGGAATTGGAGAAATCAACTCTTTTGAATATGTTAATTTTGATGTAACGCGATTATTAGATATTTTTAACATGTGATTTATTATATATAAAAGCCCTTTCACTCCGAATTCTTTATAACCTTAGTAGGACATATTTTTTCTTTTTTTATTATATCTCTCAATTTGTTGTGCCTCCTGGCATAGGCCTCCTCCAGCTTTCTCTAGTAAGGCCCCAAGGTTTGACTGATGTCGTCTATTCATTTTGTTTTTGGGCCCCCCTTTCTTCTGTCTTCTCTTGGATACCATAAGGTTACTAGTTTACTCTATTTGTTAAGTTTACAGTGTAGCATATGTCCCGTCCAACCCCATTTTAAATGCTTTTTAGTTTTTCTTCTTATTTCAGATTTCAGAATGTTATAAATATGTATTCATTGCTTTAAGTTATCTGGCTACACCACAAATATATAAATATGTAGTTATTTCCAGCAGCTCTAAATCAGTATATGTAGTATTCGATGCGTCGAGTTGGGATGTAATCCATGTGCCAGAGATTAAGATTCGATCAATCATTTAAGTGTTCACAGTTTCATTCTCATAGATCACCCTTCATTGGTGCTCCGTCAGCGTATCCCGTTAGCGTAGGCGGGGTTATCAATCCATTTTCATCCAACAAAAAAAAAAAAAAAGTGTTCACACTTAAGATAACTTAGTAGTTGACCCTTTAAAAGTTTAACCTAAAGAAAAGTTTTAAAGTTTAACCATAAACTTGACAGTTACCACTTTCTATCAAGTAGACCGTCAATTTGTTAGCCATTCTAAGTTGCATAAAAAAGAAATGTGAATTAAAAAAATGAACTTACACTCAAATGTTTCTGCGTATCGTTATTCAAATGTTCGCTCATGTCATTTTCGCTGCCAAATGTCTCCTTGCAGCCGACGCCGTGGAACGAGCACGGCACGCGGACGTCGGGCTGCGAGGACGTCTGCGGCTGATTGTACTCGCATGACTCTATGTGCGATTCGAACTCCAGGGGACTGACTTTTGCTGTGCAACCTAGAATAGTTTTTTAAATAATAGTTAAAAAGGCACTTCCATCTGCATTATTGATATATGCTGGTAGGATACCAGTATCATAGGTAAGTATAAATTTAGAGCAGTTGCCAAACTTATTAGAATCCAAAGAGGCATGCCTGCTTTCATTCAAATTAGTTCGATTTGTAACGGTGTCTATCAATCAGAGTTGAATTCATTGTTAAGATACAGTTTTTGGTATCAACTAGACATAATTTTTTTTTATACCACTGAGGTGGCAAACAAGCATACGGCCCACCTGATGGTAAGTGGTTACCGTAGCCTATGAACACCTGCAATACCAGAGGTATTACGCGTGCGTTGCCGACCCTGAAGAAACCTCTACCCCCTTTCGAAGAACCCCATGCTGAAGTCTCTTGGGAAAACCTCGGCAGGCTCATTCCACAACCTGAGTGCTCGTGGGAGGAAACATCTCTGAAACCGCGCAGTACGCAACCATTGAGGTTGTAGGACATGAGGATGAAACTTAACTATGAGATCTATAAGTCAGGGTAGTATACTTTTTTATTATACGAATGAAGAAGAAATAGTGTACTTGTTGATGCTAATAGTGTACAATGGTGGGCCATCAATAAAGATTTTATTTTATGGGTGATAATGAAATGGAAATATGCCCACAGTTTTGGTATATGCTAGTGGCACACTAGTGAAGGATGATGGGTGACAATGAAAGCATGTCAGTTGATCTATTATGTTGAATCTCATAAGAATCAACCAGGAAGGTTGGGGGGAAAGGGATTGTTAGTAATGGAGACTGAGAATCCCATTTCTAGCGATATACTCAACCAGGTCGACCTCCTCGCGGTTCTCCCTGGAAACTATCATGGTTAATTCCTGATGAATTCATCATGATGGGCTAACTGGCCTGTTTTCATTCTCATCTATCACCCTTCACTGGTGCCCCGCCAGCGTATCCCGTTAGCGCAGGCGGGATTACCATACCATTTTCACCCATCAAAAAAAAAACCAGGAAGGTTACGTGGAGGTGACCTGATTGTACATTGCTCACAATAAGAACTAACCTTCCTTTTACTAAAGACAGTATATGACTAAACCATAACACAAGTATAATTTTTGAAAATTTTGAGTCAACGAAATTACATTAAAGACTACATTACCTTTGTTAATATTGGGGCAATTCAGTCTCTGAACTTCTATCTCCCGCTTGGTGTAGTTGTCAGGAAAGATGTCGACCTTCATGCTTAAGTTTACGTTATCGAGTGGACAATGACCACTGTTCCTGTAACAATAGTCTTTAATTAATGAGTATTTGTTTAGTCTCTTGCTCTGCCCCCCTTAAAAGAACAATTTTACATGAATTGTAATATGATTAATTTCATTTTCAGCGCAAATCTCATTTTATATATAGAGGGCATCATATAACTATGCATATAAGATGGCATAGGACCACAGCTATCCCTCCAACATCATTATAATTGAATATGAATTAAATATATTAAAATATGTGTAAGCTACTTTTTGACAGTCTAAGGGGGAGGCCTTTGTTCATCAGTGGATGGATAATGGCTGAAATGGTAATGATGATGTGTAAGTTGTTTATTAAATAGACAATATATATAGTAAATAGTTTGTTTATAGCAATTGTAAATGGGAATATTTTCTTTTTCTACACTTTTCAGGGCATAATTTTTCAGTTCTCAGGATTTAGTTATTAACTTTTTATTATATTTAAGTAAAATATCAGTATTAAATAATTACTGATTCTGGATCTCGTTAAAATTTTTCATAAATACCTTCTGCTTTTTAGGTTTGTGTGTTTTTTTATTAAATTATTTTAACAAAGTTCTTTGCTGTGTTGGTGTCAATACTACATATTTAGTATCATAATTATTTCTGAACAGATCAGTGGGGTTACTCTTGAAATAACTTCCAATAAATCAATATTGAAAATGAGTCATTTCAAAATCTAGAATTGCATTACTAACAACATTACCAGAGAGAGACTTAGTACAAAAGTCAATTGCTTGGGTACCTCTGTCAATGGGATGGAATTTACTGGGTACAGAGGTATAACACCTTAGTCTTTAGGGATGACAATGGAGGGTATCATGGGCGAAACAGTATACTCTGTTATGTTCATGGTACTGCTCATGTCTATAGGCGACGGTTACCACTTTCCATCAGGTCGGCCGTCAGTTTGTTTGCCATTCTAAGTTGTAAAAAAAAAACATGATGGTTCCATATTGTTCTGATAGATGCATATTAATGTAACTTGCTAGTGCACATTATTATAATCCAATCCCACTTATATCTTATACCTGTTGTTTCAATTCTACCATTAGTAATAGACAATTGTTGTTTCATGAGTGCATCATGGTTAAGAAGGCCTGTTTTCATTCTCACTTCACTGGCAATAGCTACCATTTTCACCCATTAAAAAAAAAATAGATTCAATTGACATTGATATTAGATTCAAGATTAGATCTGCTGGATTCTAACTTCAATAATCATTTAATAATCATGTGGTTATTTGAAAATTTTGGTAATTTGGATAATATATCAAGATATTACTGGTAGCTGTTGTACTCACTGGATCCAAGGTAATATACAGCTTCTACAGAACTTGTGTCCACAGGTGGTGATGACTGGGTCTCTTAGCCAATGATAGCATATCGGGCATTCATATCGAGGCTCTGGCTGGTTCAGTAGTGAATCATTCAGTGCTGATATCCCCAATGGCTGTGGAAAAAAAAGTAAATATATTATAAGCTTGATGGAAGTAGTATTCTTGACTTAATCCTACTTCAAGATAATAAAGTAGCAACCTACTTAGGCTTTATATAGTTTTAATAAAATACAGTATATAATTATCTGGTTCTTTTAACGGGTGACAGAATTTTTTTAATTAGGTATTTTTTTGTGTTTATCCATTACTAGCTATTCGGTCCAGCTTCACATGGGTAGATAGATAGAAAATATATCAGTATTTTATATCTTTTATATACTTAGGGTTGACCTGCTTTTGTCATCATCTATCATCTTTTACAGTGCTTTGTTAATGTATATTCTATCTATCCCTCTTATTCATAAAACATCAAACAACTCAAAAACGATTTTAGCTATTAAACTGTGTTGTCTCTTTAGTTAAATTTCCAAATTGAAAGAAATTTACAAAAAAAAAAAAAAAAAAGTTAAAATAGGATTGTAGAAAGTTTTAGTTTTTAAGAATAAGAGATATATATAAGAGTAATAAACAGGACACTATAATCTAATTGACACTGGCAAAACTGATGGATATAATTACAGTTTGTGACTGTAACATGTTTTACAGAAATGGTGGGTGGATGAATAAGAATATTTTGCAAATTAAAAAAAAATATAAAGACCTCATTTGGAACCCACTTGCTCCAGTCATCAGGCACCTCGATGAATAACATCAATGAGTAGGTACCATCTCATGTCAGAGGAATGAGTCATTTGAATTAATTAATGTTTTAAAATTTGATGATTAACATCAAATAAATTTTATATAAAGGTTGTTCATTAAGTACTAGACTATAATAATTTATACATCCACTTCATAGGGATACCCTTAGGGGCGGATAGTATTTTGTTGGGTTAACTGGCAGTCTTTAGTCAATAGGAAGCCTTATAGTGTAGTATTAACTTTATAATAAACAGTTGTTACTCACCACTATGCCTTCCGAGGCATTCTTTGTATTAGCTTGATCCATAGCTCTGAAATCTAGTTAGGTGTGGAATAAATTAACATTCTATATAACAGTTCACTTACTATAACATAGATATTTGAAAATAATAAAATGTGTACCCACTTTTATAAGTTATTAATGTTTGAAGATGATATTTGATGATAGATAATCTATAATCTAGTCTAGTTAGGTGAGGAGATTCATATTTAACAGTTTATACTGATGTAAATTAATAAAATGAGAAGAATTTGTCAAAAACAATAATAAATTCAAATCACGAGTACAAGATAAATGACATCAGCACAGATCAAGCAAGTACTAGTAGCACAGATTAGACAGACTATACTGGTATTTAGTACAGAGCAAACTATAAAATGAATCTATGCAACCATCTAGAACTATTAACGGAATATAAAGGATTTTTTTATACAACTTAGAATGGTAAAGTTGACGGCCCACCTGGTGGAAAGTGGTAACCGTCGCTTATATACATGAGCAGTATCATGGACATAACAGAGTATACTGTTTCGTACATGATACCCCCATGCGTTGCCATTCTTGAGGACTCAGATGTTATTTCGCTGTACCCTGTAAATTCACGCCATATTCCACCCTTCAAACCGAAACACAGCCATGCAAACATAGCTGCTTTACGGTTATAGGAATATAGCCATTTCATAACTATTATTTGTATTACTTTTGTAGGCATATTAAATATGGGTCTCTTTTAAATATTGTTAGTAGTATTGTAGTATTATTATAAAAGACCTAGCTATTCTATAAGGTAAAGTTTTCTATACCAATGAACTGGTTGTATAGATTTCATACCATTTTTTATTGTAATACGAACAAACTAAATAAATGAAAATTGACATTGACGATTTGGTTTGACAATTTTGACAAATTTTTGTCAATTATTTTTAGATTTTTTTTAGTGAATGATAATAGAATGATAACCCTACCTTTGCTAACGAATATTTAGTGAGATAATTTGATTTCCGGTTCATAATTTTTTTTTTAAATCAAAACAAAATACAAATGTATGTATTGTTTACAATTATAAAGTGGCTATTTTAAATTATTTAAAAACATGCACAAATGTTATGTCTGTACTCAGAGAAAATCAAAGTATTTAATATATATAAGTGTCATTATGAATTATTATTTATTTGATTCTTTCAAATATATTTGTAAGAATTTTCTAACTTTACAATATAATTTATTTTATATAATATGTTATTAACTGTCCACCACTGGAAAAAAGGAGGGATTTTGCCAGTAGTTGCCACGTTTGGCAATCGGATTCTTTGGTGATGTTTAAAGATGCGTATGCGTGTGCATGTGCGTAAGAATCTTTATAATAAATATTTTTATATGCAAGATAACTAGTTTCTTTTACTGGGTGATAATGGAGTAGTAACTCCGCCTGCGCTAATAGTATACTTACGTTAGCGGGAATCAGTGTGGGATAAGCGAGGATAAAAAAGCAGTCAGTTAGCACATCATGATGAATTCGTTTAGAATTAAGCGCGATGGTTTTCAGGATGGACAGCATTGAGGTCGACTTGATAGTATATATATTGCTAGCAATGGGGTTTAATGGATGATAATGGAATGGTAACCCCGCCTGCGCTAACGGTATATACTGGCGGGGCACCAGTGAGAGATGATAGGTGAGAATGACAAATCAGGTCAGTTAGCCCATCGTGATGAATTCAGCATGATGGTTTCCAGGGAGAACCACGTGGAGGTCGACTTCGCTGGGCATATTGGTAACAATGTGACTGCTGACAATGAGTCCGCATTATAACCACATCCCCCCCCACTCTCAGCAATGGGGTTGCCAGCCCCATTACTAACAATTCTTCCCCCCTTACGAGTTTAAGACACTTGGGTACATTAAGTATATTACCATAAGCCATAAATGAATTTCTGGAACAATGATGATGAAATACTATAGTAGGTTTCGTCTCTTAATAGGCGGATATGTACGCTCCAACGACCGGCGAGACGACGCGAGAGCCTTCACCCTTATGTCGTCGATACACCGTTTATATCCATGAAGTGCTTTCCGTTTCCTTCATAATGTGTACGGCCAAAAGGTTTTTGATTGGTGAAAATGGTATGGTAACCCCGCCTGCGCTAACGGGATACGCTGGCGGAGCACCAGTGAAGGGTGATAGATGAGAATGAAAACAGGCCATCATGATGAATTCATTAGGAATTGACCATAATAGTTTCCAGGGGGAACCGCGAGGAGGTCGACCTGGTTAGGTATATTGCTAGCAATGGGATTCTCAGTCTCCATTACTAACAATCCCTTTCCTCCCAAACGGCCAAGGGGTGGAAGTCTTTTCCTGCTTATGTTTTACTATCTAAATATAATCTGCACCTATTTAAGGCAAATGTGAATATGATATTGATGGGTCAGCTCCATCTTAGACTTTCCGTCAGGTGAGATTGTGATCAATCGCGTCTATGCAGATAGGTAACTTAGTAACGAGTAATTAAATTTGAGTCCAGTGAAAAGTTTAAGTTTTCTCAAATATTTCGAAGATCAGGTATGGTATGCCAGCGAGGGACGATAGATTTTTTTTAATGTATGATAACGTAAAGGTAGCCTCGCTTCCGCTAACGGCATACGCTGGCGATATTGTTGACCAGGTAGGTTATCGGTATACATTTTTAGCAATGGGATTGTTAGTTTCCATTACTAATGATCCCCTTCCTTCAATTGTAGATAATATATATTTTTATAGGTATGAATACTGGATTATAACGTTATTTTATTTTAATTATTGTCTTGGTTATTTGATATATATTAGTACTATTTAAACTAGTCGACTGAATAAATTAAAATTAAATTGTAATGCATTCCTTAATATTTTAATTAATGTTATTTTATTATTATATAATTTCGTAATGTTTAAATGCTACAAAAAATTTTAAAATTAAATCATTGTAAATTGTAATTTTTGTTTTTAATATTTGCACGTTTGACCTAAGTAGATTTTGTAAGGTACTTTTAATTTATAAGATCAAATATTTTATACCCAAAATCATTGAAAATAAAAATAAGAGTACAATGTAAAAATTTTTTAGACTCCTATGAAATTACTACAACTCTTATGTTATTTTACATTTAATACGAAATAGTGTTTATGAATCCTCATTTAAAATTACTTAAAAATCCTTTACCGTGCCGTTGGCGGGCGCCAGTTCTGATGTTACAACATACAATGATCTTTATGTTGTAACATTCGATCTTAACCCTCTCATAATAAAGTTGCAATTGGTAGTTTTTATAAAAGTACAGCAACTAGGGAATTATCGAATGCGTTACACGTGACACATGGAGTATTAAATTGACCCTAAGTTGCGTTAAGCAACTGTCATAGAGCCTTGTTATGTAATTTGTTAATATTGTCACTTATAATTCCGTCCATAGTAATGCCTCCACGAAGCTTGCCAACGAATTGTGTCATACAGTGAGAGGCGAAGAACTGTGAAAAGTGATTCATAACTACAATACTTTTAGCTGACATGAATTATAAATGTATATGCTGTGCTCATATTAATATTTTCTGCCTTCGATCTATTTCTGTATGCATTAGGTATATTAATTCAAATGTGCATACAACACATTATATTTAGACAGCGGATCAATGTGGCTTAGGAAATATTTAATACTTTTAAAGTGGAGACAAAATACATATTTTTTTTATTCTATATACATATATAGAATAAAAAATATATGTATTTTGCCTTCATATCAGATGATATGAATGACACACTTTATTTAATTTGGAAGCATTATTCTCTAATTCTATCTCTAAAATTAAAATTTCAATTTAACATTACAGCGAAATTATTATTTTACGGACAAATATGCATTAAATTTTTAGTAAAACTTACCATATTGCATATTTTTCGATGGTCCATATCATAATGGTTTTGCTAAACTAAAGGCCAAATTTCAGTGTCTAGAAAAATTCTTTATCTTCTTCAGACGTCATCTACCTCTTAGATTACTTTTGCATTTTTGGTCTATATTTCCATATAATAGGACACTTAATACATTTGTAACAAATAAGTGTAATATTTGATTTTTTAGTTTGCTATATTAAGGCACAGTACTTCCATATTCCTAAAGAGTTGATGTTGGGCAGGCGGCCAACCGTAAAACCAAAAATCAGAATCTTAAATAACATGGATAAAAACATATTACGCTGTCCCAAGTAATTGGGATAAGGGTAGGAAGATAGTGATTGAGGAACTACCTCTTCTGAAGACTAAAGTATATCCGAGAATGCACATTTCTTTGGCGAAGTGCCAAACGAATCCGCCGGTAGTTCCGTTATTGCACATGTGAGAAAAATATGTGGCCACACGTTACAATCTCGTTTAATGTTATGCAATAACTGAAACGAAACCGTATCTATGGATGGATTCTTTTGTCGCTTTTCTTAGTGTTTGTATAATAGGTTACTTATTTTCTTATAAAAAATGGTAGAACACTTGATACGACACGACGAACTTATGAACATTATAATAGAAGGTTCTTACCTTCTATTATAATGTTCTATTATAATGTTCTATTATAATATTCTATTATAATGTAGAAGGAAGGAGGGGAAGTGGGAGATCACGATATATACAATAGTTAGATCGGACATATTAAGGAAGGATTTGGTGTCGTGTCGTATTAAGAGGTGAAGAGACTCGCTGAAAATCGTAGTAAGTGGCAAGAGCTCCACCGACAAGAGCGCAGCTCTTAAATAGGAAATTAAAAGAATGTTATCTGGGACATCTCATTCTGCTAATCATAAGTCAGCAATGCAACACGTTAATGCTTCACGGTAGAAACATTGTTTATTTTTTAAATTAATCAAGATGAATCGGCACTACTGGATGATGAAACAACGAGAATAAACTCAGGCAAGTCAGTTTATCGTGCTGAATTTGAGATAAATTAATAACGATAGTTTTTTGTTTTGCAATACAGCGGGCAAACGAGCATGCGGCTCACCTGATGGTAAACGACTACCGCCTCCCATGATAACCCACAATACTAACGGTATTGCAGGTGTGCTGTCGGCCTTTTAAAAAGGAATATGCTCTTTAGTTTCAAGAGGGTTCGCGTTTTTTGATCGACTTGATAGGGTATAATCTTCTTTTCTCTGAAAAAAATAGTTAAGAAGTGGCGGTAAATAGACACCTAGTATTCAAGCGTACAAAACAAAATCCTGTCACAGTACATGTTCAAGATATTTTGATATTAGACTACATACAATGGACGGATATACAAAAGAGTTTAAATAGGTAGTCTT